TTCGCACCAGAATGATTGCCCATCTTGTGTTTGCATAACAAATCTGTGGCCATGTGAAAATACATGCGGCCTGCTTCCCTTGGTCTCCTCGCTGCTCTCTGTATTTAACAGCTTGAAGATTTCCGTATTTGGCACACCCTGAGCAACAGATGTGTTCACATGTCAATAGAGATCAGGAACCAATTCACACACACAGCAATTTCTCACAAACCAGAGTCAATGTGAGTTGCCTTTTGGGGCAAAATAGTTGGGGATGAAAAAGAAGAAACAAGCAAGTTTTTTTATATATATAATAGCAAGTAGGTAAAGGGACCCCTGACCATTAGGTCCAGTTGTGACTGACTCTGGGGTTACGGTGCTCTTTGGAATTTGCACCAAAGAGTCAGTCTCCTATCTGAGCAACGTACGCCCAGGGTACCAGTAAGAGACACTTGCCTCCCTGGCATCTGGCTCAGCAGGAACCTGGGAATTGCCAAAAGGGAACTGGGGATTTAGTTGGCACAGAGAAGGGAATCCCACGGCAGCAGTCTCAGTCTGCCAGCTCAAGGCAATCCTGTAAAAGGGAACCTGCGAAAAAGTCAGCTGAGCGGAAAATTCTAGGGCCTGCGAAAACGAGCTCATCCTTCACCAGAAGGCTGGGGTTGGCTTCCAATCTGCATGGACTATTCCCAGCATTTTCCTAGCTCTGTTCCTTGGTCCACTCACCTCAGCTCAACTGCAGAAGGTGACCTTCGGGTCACCTTGGAACTTTTGGGTGGGTACCTCCATCTCTCTGATTCCAATGTTTAAGCGCTGAGTGCAGTTCCTTGTATTTGCCAGAAAGTCGCGGCAGAAAGTTGGTGGGAGAGAACGGAACGGGGTGACTGGGGCCTTGAAGGGCTTCGCTCTAGACAGCACCATTTTGTTGCAGTGTGTAATATTTAAAAGGAAATCTAAATTACTTTCCCCGTTAATAACCAAACCATTTCCATTGTGACCAGGGCGCTTTTATTTATTTATTTCAGCCAGAGCTCACTGGAGCTCAGCTCTGGCAGCTATCAAGTGGGCGCCATTGCCATTCTAAGAAAACAAGGGAGAAGTTCATGGTGAACTCCAGCACCTCTTTTTCTAGAAAAATAGCACTGATTGTCACCAAAAAAATAACTTTCTCTTTGTCACACACACACACACACACACACACACACACACACACACACTGTTCTACTCGTGTGTAGGACCCTGGTAGAGACCCATGCCTGACTGGCATGTTCTCTCTCCTGGTCTGTCAGGAACTTCAAAAGCTTTCTCCAGCCCAAACATCACAGCGACTGATACCACAAGGCATTAGCACGCTTTAGGATCCTGCAAAGTGTTAGCAATTTGCGTCTCAGACTCAGTAGCACAGCATTTTGGCTAAACTACGTTTATTTACACATAATACACTTGGAGCATTCCGACTTAGCTCCTTCCTCTTTCTCATCAGACAGCAAAGGGAAAGAACAAAGGACAATAGTCCCACATCATGGAACACAGTAATACCAAAACATCCTGTCTCCATCACTTCCCACACGGTGGAATAAAAACATACGCTGTCATGTGATAGACAACAATCTCATGAGTGCAAGCATGGAGCAAGAATCCTAACAACACACACACACACAAACATTTCTGCTCTTTATTTTTATAAGGCAACTTTCTGGCTGCACAATCTTGGGGTTGTTTTTCAGTGTGGATTTCTACCCTCCCAGAATAAGTCAGGGGTGTCCTGAGATGGTGAAAAGGTTCTCTGCTTTTAACAGGAGATATTTGACAGGAGAAACTTCTTCCAACAGTGCACCCTACTTGCTGGGATACGCTTCCCCTGAGGGTTTCTGGGAATCGGACAATATTAAGGGGAAATTCCTCTTTTATCAGTTGCTAAGTTAGATCAGGTCTTGTCACCCACTAGGAGAGGTAAAGGTAAAGGGACCCCTGACCATTAGGTCCAGTCGTGACCGACTCTGGGGTTGCAGCGCTCATCTCACTTTATTGGCCAAGGGAGGCGGCGTACAGCTTCCGGGTCATGTCACCAGCATGACCAAGCCGCTTCTGGCGAACCAGAGCAGCTCACGGAAACGCCGTTTACCTTCCCGCTGGAGCTGTACCTATTTATCTACTTGCACTTTGACATGCTTTCGAACTGCTAGGTTGGCAGGAGCAGGGACCGAGCAACGAGAGATCACCCTGTTGCGGGGATTCGAACCGCTGACCTTCTGATCGCAAGTCCTAGGCTCAGTGGTTTAACCCATAGCGCCACGGAAAATTCCTCTTTTATCAGTTTCTAAGTTAGATCAGGTCTTATCACCCACTAGGAGAACCTTGACGTTATAAGAGCAATGGACAGAAAGGCTTGGCTTGACTCCCATAATCCTTTGCTCACTCCGCTCAGAGTACAGAGGAATTCTCATTGTCTCCAGGCCTTGTTCATCGATCTTCGACAGATGGTATGTTACAGGGCAAAGGCTTTTGACCTTCTCCTTAGGATGAGACATGAAATAGGATTAAGCATTGTTGATCGCGTAATGATCTTTGGTCAATAAACACATGGCTTCTCTATGTATTAATTCTTTGAGCCCTTAACAAAAAACGAAAAGCCAACTGGCAGATGGAGATTGTAATTCACAAAGAAAGCTCCCCTGGCTGTGAATGACAAGCCTTTCTTTCTTTTTATTTCTGTGATCTATAGACTGACTGATTGATTTACGCCATGGGTAGGCAAACTGAGGCCCGGGGGCCGGATCTGGTCCAATCACCTTCTCAATCCGGCCCATGGACGGTCTGGGAATCAGCGTGTTGGGGAGTAGAATGTGTGCTTTTATTTAAAATGCATCTTTGGGTTATTTGTGGGGCATAGGAATTCGTTCATTCCCCCCAAAAAAAATATAGTCCGGCCCCCCACAAGGTCTGAGGGACAGTGGACTGGCCCCCTGCTGAAAAAGTTTGCTGACCCCTGATTTATGCTCTTGATGAAGAGCAGTGAAGGTACAGGGATATGTTATCCCTTTGATTGCCCTCTGCTCACCCATCCCATCCAATCCTTGTGACTCAAAAGAGTTAAGAAAGAAGAGGATAAGACTGGAGAAAAATCTCACGAGAGCAGGAACGCCAGAGCCCTGCAAATGCAGCTTCAGGGCTTGGGCAGAGCATCAGAAACCTATGAAACAACTATAAGGTTAGGTAGGGTGCCTCTGAGCACGTCCAGAGTGCATTTGCCACGCCACTGCATAATCACTACCTCCTAGCATCCCAATCTGGGGAGAGGGAGCACGCTCTCTCGCAGAAAAGGAATCAGGAGCTTAGAAACGACCCACAACAAAAGGGATGGAGTGCTTCTGTTCAGGGTTTTAGCCAGCCATAGCCTTTCCCACATACTCCGTTCCTTTCTCCCTCCTGCTTTCCACTCCACCTGTGGTAGAGTCCACAATTTGTGACCACTGAGCATGCTCAGTCCACATTTGGGCAGATTTGAGTCCCCTCCTCTTTTACGCTCACCCCCCTTTATTGAGGGGTCCTTTGGTAAACCTTGGGTTCCCCCAGACCTTGTGCTTGGAAGGTGGCTTTTCGGAACTACATAGAAATAAAGCAAATTTGAACCTGCTGCTGCTATTGTTGTTATTACTAGTGCTAATACCAGTGGGGGTTTTTTTGGAAATAAAATAGGTGCCAGTACACACCAATCGTAAATAGGCTGTGCCAGTGCAGAGGCAGGATAGAAATGAAATTAATAACAACGATAAATTGCAGCGTAAAAAAAAGGGCAACGAGATATTCCATTGTGGTGACTGTAAACCAGGTTTTAAGGCGCTATTTGTCAACCAGCTTATGTATCTGAGTTCCTGACACTGCCATGTACGCATACCCTCCAACATTTCTCCGATGAACATAGGGACGTCCAGTGCTATTTTTTTAGAAAAAGAGGTGCTGGAACTCACCACGAACACCTCCCTCGTTCTCTTAGAATGGCAATAGCACCATGGGTGTAGTCCTTTATATAAACTTTTTTATTAGTTTTTCTACATATCATTTTCAACAGTAACTAAACATACTTTCCTATCTTATATCATCTTTTTTTTTTTGACTTCCATCAATCACACCTGAAAATTTTCCAATCTAATCACCAATTATACATTTCTTACTTCCACAATTACATTTAACTCGTAACTAATATCTCTATTCTTTCTCTACTTTGCAATGCTTCATACATTTCTCCTTACGAAACTTCTTGTAGTCCTACTAGCGTAATTTGTTGATTACAGTTGCTCTTCAAAGAGTTCGTATATTTCTTCCAATCTTCTGTAAATCTCTGGTCCCGCAGGTTTCGAATCCTTCCTGTCATTTTGTCCAATTCTGCGTAGTCCATTAATTTCGTCTGCCATTCTTCTTTCATCGGAATTTCTTCTTGCTTCCGTTTCTGGGCTAACAGTACTCTTGCTGCTGTTGTTGCATATAAAAACAATTTAACATCTTGCCTATTAATATATTCACCTATAATACAAAGTAAAAATGCTTCTGGTGCACCATGGGTGTAGTAAAGAGGGGGCAGCTGCCCCCCAAGCAATAAAAATTGATAAAAATTCAAAGCTAACTGAGGTTCTGCCCCCCCCCACAAAAGCCTGCCCCCCAACAAAAATCCTGGCTACACCGAAGAATAGCACCCCCCTGAGAGGCGCCGGAACTGAGTTCTGGCTGAAAAAAGTCCTTTTCCATACCCTCCGCCATTTCTCCGATGAAAATAGGGACATCCTACCGTCCTCTCCAACATTCCTCCAATGAAAATAGGGACGTCCAAAGGAAAAGTGGGGCATTCCAGGATTAAATCATAAACCAGGACGGCTTCAGTAAATCTGGGACAGTCCCTGGAAAATAGGGACACTTGGAGTGTCTGTGTATGTAATTTACCCAAAACCCTCCAAGAAATTTCTGGCAGACCCTCTTTCCCTCCTTGCTGTGATGAAGTTCGCTTGCTTCTACTCCCTTTGCAGGTTCTACTGGGACTTGATCATGTTGCTCCTCATGGTTGGCAACCTCATCATCTTGCCCGTGGGCATCACGTTTTTCAAGGATGAGAACACCCCTCCGTGGATCGTCTTCAACGTCCTCTCAGACACCTTCTTCCTGGCCGACCTGGTCCTGAACTTCCGCACGGGCATCGTGGTGGAAGACAACACCGAGATCATCCTGGACCCTCACACCATCAAGATGAAGTACCTTAAGACCTGGTTCCTGGTGGACTTTGTCTCCTCCATCCCCGTCGACTACATCTTCCTCATCGTGGACCTGGAGACCCAGGTGGACTCCGACGTCTACAAGACGGCGAGGGCGCTGCGCATCGTCCGCTTCACCAAGATCCTCAGCCTCCTGCGCCTCCTGCGCCTCTCCCGCCTCATCCGTTACATCCACCAGTGGGAGGAGGTGAGTCAACATCAGGACCACTGCACCATGTGACTCCAGCCAAGGTAGATGCAAAAGCACGGTGGCCCACCAGGTTGGGCTTGATAGGCCTCCCACTTTACCAACAACCCATGGCCGTTGTATGTAGCCTGATCGGGCTGCCTTTGGTTTAGTAGTAGTAGTAGTAGTAGTAGTAGTAATAATAATAATAATAATAATAATAATAATAATAATAATAATAATAATAATTTATTATTTATACCCCGCCCATCTGGCTGAGTTTCCCCAGCCACTCTGGGCGGCTCCCAATCAAGTGTTAAAAACAATACAGCGTTAAATATTAAAAACTTCCCTGAACAGGGCTGCCTTCAGATGTCTTTTAAAGATAGGATAGCTGCTTATTTCCTTCACATCTGAAGGGAGGGTGTTCCACAGGGTGGGCGCCACTACCGAGAAGGCCCTCTGTCTGGTTCCCTGTAACCTCACTTCTCGCAATGAGGGAACAGCCAAAAGGCCCTCGGCGCTGGATCTCAGTGTCCGGGCAGAATGATGGGGGTGGAGACACTCCTTCAGGTATACAGGACCGAGGCCGTTCATGTACAGTGGTACCTCTGGATGTGAACGGGATCTGTTCTATAGCCCCGTTCACATCCTGAACAGAAGTTAAGACGCGGCTTCCGCGAATGCACGTGACGTCATTTTGACCGTCTGCGCATGCGTGAGCGGCGAAACCTTGAAGTAATGCGCTTCGTTACTTCCAGGTCGCTGCGGAGTGCAACCCGAAAATACTTATCCTGAAGTGTATTTATCCCGAGGTGTGACTGACCTGGCTACCAATTAGATTCCGGGCCCAATTCAAAGTGCTGGTTTTGACCTATAAAGCCTTAAACGGCGCAATACCTCAAGGACCGCCTCTTTCTGTATGAACCTACCCAGACCCTGAGATCATCTTCTGAGGCCCTCCTTCGTGTGCCCCTTCCTTGAGAGGTCTGGAGGGTGGCAACATGAGAACGGGGCCTTCTCTGCAGTGGCTCCCTGCCTGTGGAATGCTCTCCCCAGGGAAGTTCACCTGGCACCTTCATTACACACCTTTAGGCACCAGGCAAAAATGTTCCTTTTTAACCAGGTTTTTGGTTGATCTGTTTGACATCCTATACCCTTTTAAAATGTGGCTCTTCTCTGGAGGGGGGCTGTTATTGAGTTGTTGTTTTTTCTGATTATATATGTTGTGATCTTTTCTGTGAACCGCCCTGAGACCTCCAGGTATAAACTTAATAATAATAATAATAATAATAATAATAATAATAATAATAATAATAATGCTGCGCTCTGGTTGTTGCTGGACTATGATTTGCACAATCCTCTGGCGTCCTGAATTAATGAAATGATCAAGATTCCCCCACCGCCCATCACAAGATTTACATACCACTTGATTGTAATAAAAGCTTAGAACATTTTGCAAAAGATGAATAAGGCGATTAAATCGTCATTAATAAAAACAAACAGCTAGAAACAACTAAACTTTTTTTTAAAAAGATAAAATCCAGATTAGACCTGGCAGGAAGCATCTTTCTCATTTCCTAAGGGAAATATCGCAGTTTTGTGAGCTCACCCAAGCCCAAACTCCCCTAGAGGTATCTGTTCCATGAACCTCCACAGATGTGTATTATTATTGCTGTGGTGGTTACAATTAATTTGTTAATTGCCTTCTAAACCACCGTCTCAAGGTTATTCACACATAAGATAATTAAAAACAATGAGCGTATTTAAAGTGAGACCAAAACCCAAACAAGTGGTCCACTCTCATGGTAATAATAATAATAATAATAATAATAATAACAAAAAAATTCCTTCCAGTAGCACCTTAAAGACCAACTAAGTTAGTTCTTGGTATGAGCTTTCGTGTGCATGCACACTTCTTCAGATACACAATAATGATAATAATAATAATAATAATAATAATAATAATAATAATAATAATAATAATTTATTATTTGTACCCTGCCCATCTGGCTGGGTTTCCCCAGACGCTCTGGGCAGCTTCCAACAAAGATTAAAAATATCACACGTTAAAAACTTCCCTGAACAGGGCTGCCTTCAGATGTTTTCTAAACCAGGTAGTTGTTTATCTCTTTGACATCTGGTGGGAAGGCGTACCACAGGGTGGGTGCCACTACCGAGAAGGCCCTCTGCCTGGTTCTCTGTAGCTTTGCTTCTTGCAGCGAGGGAACCGCCAGAAGGCCATCGGTGCTGGACCTCAGTGTCCAGGACGAACGATGGGGGTGGAGATGCTCCTTCAGGTATATTGGGCCGAGGCCGTTTAGGGTCATGCAGCCAAAAGAAACCCCAGGCAGCCTCTGTCTCTCCTCTCACAGTCTGTCCCGGCTTTCTCTCCTCTTGTCCAGATCTTCCACATGACCTATGACCTGGCGAGCGCGGTCGTGCGGATCTTCAACCTCATTGGGATGATGCTCCTCCTCTGCCATTGGGACGGCTGTCTCCAGTTCCTGGTCCCCATGCTGCAGGACTTTCCTGAGGACTGCTGGGTCTCCATCAACCACATGGTGGTAAGGGCCCCTCCACAGCATTCCTATAAACAGGCAGAGCCAGCTTAAGACAGGTAGAGGCCCTTGTTGTTGTTGTTTAGTCGTTTAGTTGTGTCCAGCTTTTTGTGACCCCATGGACCAGAGCACGCCAGGCACTACCTTGGATCAAATCTATGCTTCCAGGTGCCATAAGAAAGCTTCAGAGATAACGCAGGATAGTGCGCACCCCGGAAATGATCTCTTTCAGCTTCTGCCTTCTGAAAGAAGGTACAGGGTTATAAAGACTAGGACTAGCCACCTGAGAAACAGTTTCTATTCAAATGCAATTTTGGTTTTAAATGCAGTGTAAGGTAGTCTCTATGGGAACATATTGTATTTAATTATGGGGTATTTAGAGGGCTAACCAGGCTGGGAGAGCTGGGATAGCAGGCTTGTTGGTTTTTGAATGTTTGATGTAGATTTTCAATTTCATTGTTCTGTATTGGACAATGACAATAAAGATTATCGTATCGTATCATCGTATCGTATCGTATCAGTGTAAGGTTGCTTCCTATTTAAACCAGCCTTTAAACCAGCCCATAACTTGGGTTTCCAGCTGACTACAACTCCCATCATCCATAGCTAGAAAGGCTAGTGATCAGGGATGATGAGAACTGCAGTCCCCAAACAGCTGGGGACTCCAGTTTGGGAGACACTATTCTAGCTGATATATGGTCAAAGCACCTCTGGCCACATCACCCTTCTGAATTTTAACTTTACTTTGAGACCATAATTTTAGAACAGAGTTTCCCAGACTTGGGTTTCCAGCTGTTTTTGGACAACAACTCCTAGCTAGCAGGACCAGTGGTCCGGGATGATGGGAATTGTAGTTCGAAAACAGTTGGGGGTCCAAGTTTGGGAAACCCTGTTCGAGAACGATGAGAAGAAGTGGGTTTAAAAAAATAAAATAAAAAATAAAGTGTGTAGTCACTTGGAGGTGATCTCTGTGGTCACCCTAGGTAACCATACTGACCAGAAATGGCTGCTTCAATGGACCTGTGCAGGTAAGACTGCTCCCACCTCCACAAATGAGCACACCAACGACTGGCCTGCGCTGAAGCCCGCTTCTTTCTCTGCCCCACAGAATGACTCGTGGGGCAAGCAGTACTCTCACGCCCTCTTCAAGGCCATGAGCCACATGTTGTGCATCGGGTACGGGCAGCAGGCTCCTGAGGGCATGACGGACGTTTGGCTCACGATGCTGAGCATGATCGTGGGGGCCACCTGCTACGCCATGTTCATCGGCCATGCCACCGCCCTCATCCAGTCACTGGACTCCTCTCGCCGCCAGTACCAGGAGAAGGTGAGCTGCAGGGTCGCCCGGTTTTGCTTGTGGAGGACCTGGTGTCTTGCAATGTGCCTTGTGGGGAAGCTGAGCTCTTGCAAGGCTCAGCTCGCCGGTCAGTTTCAAAGCAGGCCGGAAGCTGAGAGTTGCCATGCAATGCAGGAATAGTCAGTGTAGACCGGTCTGAGCTAGTTGGAGCAAGGGGTCTGACTCAGTCCTTGCTCCTATTTAATCAGGTCTTTTATTCAGAACAATGAGGACTAGGACCTTAGAATCTTTAAGGGAAAGGGGCGTAGCTCAGTGGTGGAGTGCATGCTATGCATGGAAAGGTCCCAAGGTTCGGTCCCCAGCATCTCCAGGTAGGAATGGCAGAGAGAACGCTCCCCAAAACCCTGGAGAGCTTCTGCCAGTCAGTGCAGACAGTACTAAGCTAGATGGATCCCAGAGTCAGTCGAGGGCAACTTCCCATGAATGGTGGAAGATTCAGGACTGACTAAAGGAAGTAGGTATATATGCAAGGAGCAGTTCACCTGTGGAACTCATTGCCACAAGGTGTAGCGGTGCCCAGCGGCTTGCTGCAAGAGGATTAGACATATTCTGCTATCAATGGCTGCCAGCCACAACGACTATTTTCTGTGTCCTCTGTCGGAGGCAGTATGCCTCTGAAGTTGCCAGGAATCCCAAGCAGGGAGAGTTGCTGTGGCTTGTGAGATTCTCCTACGGGCATCTGGTTGTCCACTGCGAGAGCAGGATCCTGGAACAGATCACCTGGCTTTTAGCCACAAGGGCCACAATTTGTCTCCCCTGTTCAATTCCCCAGAAGTGGGGAGAGTTGCTGTTTCACTCGGGTCCTGCACCAATGAGGCATCTTGTTGGCCACCACGAGAGCTGTGGGAAGTGATACATAAGTAGCAGTCAAGTACAACATTCCTTGTTTTCCTAGAGTAGACATGCAAGGGGATGTTTGATTCAGCCAGTCAGAACTTCCTGTTTCCTCCTGGAGTGGGACATACTTCCTTTGCATGTGACTAGAGGTGGGCGTGACCTTACCTGTCCAGGTAACAAAAGGACAAAGCACGCAGCACTCTCTCTCTCTCTCTCTCTCTCTGACTTCCTCCATCGTTGGAGCAGCTTTTTAGCTAGATATGCTCTGTTGGCTCTCAGCCAACAGAGGACACTGGGATTATCCCCATATGGCAGTGTTCCCCAACCTTGGGCCTCCAGCTGTTTTTGGACTACAACTCCCATCATCCCTCGCTAGCAAGACCAGTGGTCAAGGATGATGGGAATTGTAGTCCAAAAACAGCTGGAGGCCCAAGGTTGGGGAACACTGCCATATGGGATAGATTCACATGTATATACTTTGTAACTAAGTCTGTCAACTGTGAACTGAATGTGAGTAAACTACTTTTTATATACAGTGGTACCTCTGGATGCGAACGGGATCCGTTCCAGAGCCCAGTTCGCATCCTGAAGCGAATGCACCCCGCGTCTGTGCATTGCAATTTGCCGCTTCTGCGCATGCATGTGATGTCATTTTGAGCGTCTGCGCATGCGCGAGCGGCGAAACCCAGAAGTAACGTATTCCATTACTTCTGGGTCGCCATGGAGCGCAACCCGAAAACGCTCAACCTGAAGCAACTTCAACCCGAGGTATGACTGTACTTTAAACAAGATTGTGGCATGTTTATTCTTTTAAGAGGGATAAAAAGGAATTTACCAGGAACATACAATTCAATACTGAATTGTATAATAGTGAAAGGCTTACGCAAGCCTGCAACCAGCTACCCGCTGTGCGTTAAAAAGGGGAATGTAAAACTCTGCTAAGTAAAGGAACTTGCTAGTGCAAGTTGGGAAGGATATTAATAAACAATATATCCTCTCCTGCCTCCCTGAGCATTCCCACAAGAGCAGAACATTGGACTAAGTTGGGCCTCTGGCCTGATCCATCTGCGCTCTTCTGATTTTCTTCTCCCCTCGTCTCTCCTCCTAGTACAAGCAAGTGGAGCAATACATGTCCTTCCACAAGCTTCCGGGAGACACACGCCAACGGATCCACGAGTACTACGAACACCGTTACCAAGGCAAGATGTTTGACGAGGAGAACATCCTTGGGGAGCTGAGTGAGCCTCTCAAAGAGGTACGTACCTGGGCAGCACCCATATCTGGAGAGGGAGAGGGAGGGGTAGTCAAGGTTGGGGAACAGGGATAGGGAAAAGGGAATCCATAGCTCTTCACTGCAAAACAGCACTCATATAAGCTAAGAGGGGAAAGTCTTAGTTGAACAAACTCATGTTGTTGTACGTGCCTCAGTCTCTGGCAGTGGGACGCGGGTGGTGCTGTGGTCTAAACCACTGAGCCTCTTGGGCTTGCCGATCAGAAGGTCTGTGGTTCGAATCCCTGTGACAAGGTGAGCTCCCGTTGCTCTGTCCCAGCTCCTGCCAACCTAGCAGTTCGAAAGCACACCAGTGCAAGTAGATAAATAGGTACCACTGTGGCGGGAAGGTAAGCGGCATTTCTGTGCGTTCTGGTTTCCATCACGGTGTCCCGTTGCGCCAGAAGCGGTTTAGTCAGGCTGGCCATATGACCCGGAAAGCTGTCTGTGGACAAACGCCGGCTCCCTTGGCCTGAAAGTGAGATGAGTGCCGCAACCCCGTAGTCGCCTTTGACGGGACTTAACCGATCCAGGGGTCTTTTACCTTTAGGTAAAGGTAAAGGGACCCCTGACCGTTAGGTCCAGTTGCAGACAACTCAGGGGTTGCGGCGCTCATCTCGCTTTACTGGCCGAGGGAGCTGGCATACAGCTTCTGGGTCATGTGGCCAGCATGACTAAGCCGCTTCTGGTGAACCAGAGCAGCGCACGGAAACGCTGTTTACCTTCCCGCCGGAGCGGTACCTATTTATCTACTTGCACTTTGACGTGCTTTCGAACTGCTAGGTTGGCAGGAGCAGGGACCGAGCAACGGGAGCTCACCCCATCATGGAGATTTGAATCGCCGACCTTCTGATCTGCAAGCCCTAGGCTCAGTGGTTTAGACCACAGCACCACCCGCGTCCATTTACCTTTACCTTTTACCTAATCTTTGACAAGTGAGATACGCAACACTTGCCTAGGGTTCTGTTTCTTTGGAATAAAGTCAACAGAGACTGTGGGGTCTTTAGGATATTCCTTTTTTTCTACACATATATATAACCTGAGCATAGGTTAGATTGTGTGAGTGAGTTTTTGGAGCGCTGCTAGAAGTGGAAGGCATAGAGACATGTCTTGCTCTGTGCTGGGCTTTGGGGGCACACTGCCCCCCTGGAAACCCAGTGTGGAAGCAAGCTCTATGAGAGTGTCAGTGCTATGAGCCCCTCTTCTCACATGCGCAGGTTTTCTTCCTCTCTGATTTACGACCTGCCCTGCCGCCCCCTTTTAGGAAATAATCAACTTCAACTGCCGCAACCTGGTGGCCAACATGCCGCTGTTTGCCAACGCTGACCCCAACTTTGTGACGGCCATGTTGACCAAGCTGCGCTTCGAGGTCTTCCAGCCGGGGGACTTCATCATCCGGGAAGGCACCGTGGGCAAAAAGATGTTCTTCATCCAACACGGCGTGGTCAGCATCCTGACTCGAGGCTCCAAAGAGATGAAGCTCTCAGATGGTTCCTACTTTGGGGGTATGTTTTAGAGAGGAGGGGTGGGGGTTTTTTTGGGGGGGGAGGAATCAGCAAGCTCCCAAACATGGCTTTGTGTTTTTCAAATTTATTTACACTTTCGAAATTCAAGCTTAAAGATGGCTGGCGAACCGGGGTTGCTGAATTGTGGAGGCAATAACCAGCATTCCCGCAATATATGATGTTCAAGGTGTGAGTGCCAATAATTTTGTAGCCCAACCAAGAACAGCCACACTGTTTTAATCCATTTTGCCCCTGTTTCCTTCCATTCTTGGCAGCTGCTGTGTGGCAAATTTGATGTTTTTGCCGTTGATAGGTTCCACGTGCTCTAACATTCAGCTAATCGGGGATCACGTAGCCAACATAATGACATCACAGCACCCAATAACCAATCAGGTTTGGCTAGGTGAGAACATCACAAAGCCAAATCAGAGAGAGGTAAATGCTTTCTGACCTCGCTCTGAATGGTTAGGACTCTCTTTTTTGGGTCCCATTTTGCAACCTACCTGAATTAGTGCCGAAAAGGAAATAGGGAAAAAGTTTGGGTGAGCAGGTTGGCTTGAAAGGGGTCAGGTCCCCCCCCCTCCAAAAAAACCACACACACATGCTATTTGTGTCAGCTCCAGTAACTCCTTTTTGTAGAGGAGTATGAGAACAGTTCGGGCCTAAGATAGATCCACAAGCTTTCCTCCCTAAACTGCCTCTCCCAGAGTTACCCTGGAGGCAACCCTTGCTCGCCGTAGGTGATCAAGCGACAGGGTGCAAACCTCTCCTGGCAAAAACCTTAAACTGTTTCTGATCCTCATCTCCTCGGTTGGTCCCTGCAGAGATCTGCCTCCTGACCCGCGGCCGGCGTACGGCCAGCGTGCGTGCCGACACCTACTGTCGCCTCTACTCGCTCTCGGTGGACAACTTCAATGAAGTCTTGGAGGAATATCCCATGATGCGCCGGGCCTTCGAAACCGTCGCCATGGACCGACTGGACCGCATAGGTGAGACGTGTGGCTGGAGGCTATTGGTCACTTGGACCAACGCACTGGCTAGGGCAGGGGTGGGGCCTCATTCCCTTCTGGGCAGCCTTCTGGAGGACACATGCCGGTGGAGGCTGGGGCCAGGGGAAGAAGCAGGCAGAGTAACGGAAGTAAATTCTGCCATTTGTATAGTAGGTTGGTGTGGCAATCACGCAGGGTCCCCGGACGTTCAGCGGTCTATTGACCCTGTGCCACCACTGTACTTGCATTCTTCGCTGCCACCAACCCGTTTCCCACAGGTACACATGGAGTCCAGTCAGTTGTTAACATTAACAAATAATCAAGTTTGTTTTATAGGCATGAACAAGCTTATGGTCACAGTTAATTTTTCTTGGCAGTTTCTTAATCTTAGTTCCTTAACTGTCCTATTCGTTCCTAACAACTTCAAACTGATTATCCCAACTAACTATCTGACTCCACCTAATAATTCCTCTCACTCTCTCACCACACAACTCGACCAACCCACAAACTATTAGTGCCACTGTATTCTGCTCTGGTCAGACCTCACCTGGAGTACTGTGTCCAGTTCTGGGCACCACAGTTCAAGAAGGACACTGACAAACTGGAACGTGTCCAGAGGAGGGCAACCAAAATGGTCAAAGGCCTGGAAACGATGCCTTATGAGGAACGGCTAAGGGAGCTGGGCATGTTTAGCCTGGAGAAGAGGAGGTTAAGGGGTGATATGATAGCCATGTTCAAATATATAAAAGGATGTCACATAGAGGAGGGAGAAAGGTTGTTTTCTGCTGCTCCAGAGAAGCGGACACGGAGCAATGGATCCAAACTACCAGAAAGAAGATTCCACCTAAACATTAGGAAGAACTTCCTGACAGTAAGAGCTGTTCGACAGTGGAATTTGCTGCCAAGGAGTGTGGTGGAGTCTCCTCCTTTGGAGGTCTTTAAGCAGAGGCTTGACAACCATATGTCAGGAGTGCTCTGATGGTGTTTCCTGCTTGGCAGGGGGTTGGACTCAATGGCCCTTGTGGTCTCTTCCAACTCTATGATTCTATGATTATTCCTCCCTCTTCCTTCTCCAACTCCCAACTCTCAACTGACTTTCACACAACACCCCCTCTAACCCTAACTCCTCCTATCAGTTTCCACTGGCCAATCACATCACACTCATTTTAACCCTTTCCTTATGACCCACCTAGGAGGCAAACGCCACAGTTGGTTTCTACAGACACTCACAAAACGCCTCTCTCCTGCATCCAGACCAGCAAGAAGCAAGACCAGAGCTCACAGGCACATCCCAGGCAGGGGGAAACACTCACAGAGGGTGTGGAGCTGGGCTGGTGTGGGGGGGTGGTGGCCTGGGAAGACCCCCCACACCAGCCCAGCTCCAGAGAGCCCTAGAGACCAGCATTCAGCCTGAGGTTCTCCACTCCTGGCCTGGGGGCGGGGGGGGGGGACTCTGGGGGGAAGTCAGAGGCACTGATTATGAAGCAAAAGAAACAAGCCCCTGCTTATCTCTCCCTTTTTCTGCTCCCCCCCCTCTCTCACACGCACACACAAATACACACTCCCTCTTCATACCCTCCAACACCTCAAAGGAAAAAAATCTGATGCCACCTTCCCATTTTTATTCATGAAAGCACAGCAGCCATTTGGGGCACTGTGATTTTGAATGATTTTGTGCCACAATTTCGCCCCCCCATAAAAGCGCTTTTTTCAGGCACAGTGCAAGATTGCAGCCCCCAAAAAGATTTTTTTTGGGGGGGGGCAATCACGGCACGAAATCATACAAGAGATCATGGTACCCCAAAGAGCTGCCATGCTCCCGCAAGAAAAAAACAGATGTCCCAGGTTTTTTCTCTTTTTGCCATCTCCTTCTCTCTCTCTGCTGCTCGCTTCGCTCTCACTCTCTTTTCGCCCCTTCTTTCTTACTCTCTGGGTTGCAGTTACAGGTAGGTAGCCGTGTTGGTCTAAAAAAATTCCTTCCTAAGTAGCTCCTTAGAGACCAGCTAAGTTTGTTATACCCTCTCTGGGTTGCATCCAGCTAATAATAATAACAATAAATTTTTATTTATATCCCGCCCTCCCCAGCCGAAGCCAGGCTCAGGGCGGCTAACAACAATAAAATAATACAACATTCTAAAATCATTTCATTATAAAATTAATTCAAATCAAATTGATGGCAACCATTGGGCTAGAGTTCTGTGAAGATTGCCAAAGGAGGGAGTCAGGCTGTGCCCTAGCCAAAGGCCTGGTGGAACAGCTCTGTCTTGCAGGCCCTGCGGAAAGATGTCTAGTCCCACAGGGCCCTAGTCTCTTGTGGCAGAGCGTTCCACCAGATCGGAGCCACAGCCGAAAAAGCCCTGGCTCTGGTTGAGGCCAGCCTAACCTCTCTGTGGCCTGGGACCTCCAAGATGTTTTTGTTTGAAGATCGTAAGTTCCTCTGTGGGGCATGCCAGGAGAGGCGGTCCCGTAGGTACGAGGGTCCTAGGCCCAACTCTGAGCAGACCCATTGAAACTAATGAACCTAACTTTGGTCCACTAACGGGCCTACTCTAAACAAGAGGCAGCCTTCGATTTCTGCCATCCTCTCGTTCCCTCGTCCCCCTGCCCTTTGCCCACCAGCACGGAATTCACCCCAAGGTAGCTTGACCAAGCCTCTGGCACTGTGAAAAGAGGCTGTGTTTGCTTAAGGCCTAGCGTGGAAGCCCTTCCGCTGCTGTGCGTAGACATCATGATGATGATGATGATGATGATGATGATGATGATGATAATGCCCTTTGCTCATCCTCCGGTGTCTCTTCAGGTAAGAAGAACTCCATCCTGCTGCGCAAGCGGGCCGAACACAGCTCCAGCTCTGTCAACCAAGAGATCATCCAGCAAATCGTCAAGCACGACCAAGACATGGCACACAACATCCAAGAGCTGCAGCCAGTGGTGGCCGGGCGCGAGCTGAGCGGCAAAGCCGTGATCTGGGAGCCCCTGGTGCACGCTCCGCTGCAGACCGCCGCCGCCACCACAAACGTCGCCATTGCCTTGACGCACCAGCAGAGCCTCGCGGCTCACATCTTCCTGCCCCCTTCTTCTGTAACCAGCCCTCTGTCCCCCGACGCCACGCTATACCCTCGCCAGCCCCGGCGCTCCCAGCCCAGCTTGGCCGGCTCGCGCCCTTCTTCGGTCAGCTCTCCCGCTTCGGGGGCGCAGTCCCACTTACAGACGCCGGCGGTCGGGTCTCCGTCCTCCCCTATGGTCCAGTGCCCGTCGCCCTTGGAAAGCACCGGCCCCCGTGGCGTTCCTCTCGGACCCCCCATCCCGCAGCCCATACAGAAAGCGGAAGCTGCCCCAAGCCAGCCTCAGCTCTCCAAGTCCCGCGGAGCCTCTGTCTCCACCTCGCTCCTGCAGCAGCCGGTGAGTGTTGCGGCCATCCCGCCCGGACGGACTCTCCACTACAGCCTCTCGCGGGCCACCGGCTCCCACATCTCTTTGTTTCTGCAGCCGCAGCAGCTGGTCAAACACCGCAGCACACAGGGCTTGTCGGCGGGCCGCCTCACCCAGGATGTTAGGCCGCTCTCGGCCTCCCAGCCTTCCTTGCCGAACCGGCTCACCCAGCCGGCGGACATGGGCCCCCCTCAGCAAGCCCGGAAGTCGGCCGGGAACCTGACGTACCGGTCGTCTCCTTCGGTCCCCGGGCTTCTAGCCAAGCCGGCCCCCGGCGCTGCCAGGCGTCCTGTTTCTCCCCAGCAGGCCGCTTCGGGGTCCAGCCGGTCCGGGAGCGGGCCCAGCACCCCGCAGTCGCCTGCCACCACGCCCCGCCACACAGCTGCCCCGTCCCGCAAAGGTTCTGTGGCGTTCAGCCCCGACGTGGACACTGGGAAAGCGAAGCTCACGTCCAATATGTGAGGCCGCAAGAGTCCAGGGCTGCACTTTCTGGTGTCGGAAGGTCAGCCTGTAGGAAAGGCAGGCCTGGGCGGGTGTGGGGGCCAGGAGGCCCGTCCAGAGATAAGGAAACGGGTACTTGGGCAATTTGCCACCATCTCGGGGCAGGCTGTCCGCCTCGAACGTCGGCCTGATGGGTCTCTGAGCCATGACTGACTGGAGAAGGAGGGAGGGAGCTGTTTCCTCGAGGAAAGCCCAACGTCCCCACTGCCGCCATCTTAGCTCCTTGCCAAAAGGCACCCGCCGAGCCCCGTGCCACACCTGCAGGGGGCAGGAAGCCAGGCCGCAAACCCCCTCAGCCACCCTTTGGTTGGGGACACATGTCCTTGGGCCTCATTTCTGCCCTGCCCACTTTGGACCTATTAGTGCCTCCACACACCCATTTCCAGGCTGCCCTTGACGGTGGGTTGTGTGGGCTTTGCCCCATATCGAAACCCCCACAGGGCCAGTGGGGCGAGGAGAGGCAGCAGAAGGGGTTCGCTTTTGATAAAGCCTGGGCGCCCCGTTCCCTCAGCACAGCCTGTCTTTTTGAACGTGAAGGAAGAGGTGCGGAGAAGGCCAAACGACAGTCCCAGAAGTCTCCGGCCACACAAAATCTGCCTCCGACGTCCAGCGCTGGGCGGTGACAACATTGTGGACACTCCTGGATGAGTGCCATGCCCCCTTGTACCCTGTCTCTCCCCCTCCCTTGAGGGATATTTTTAACAAGGAGATATTTTATCTGGTCCTACTTCTCTTCCCCAACCTCCCCAAGCCCGTTCTCAATTTGTGCAATATGAGATCTCAAGGTGTCTTGTGAGAGTGTGTGTAGCTGTAGAAACCCCGGTTCCATGGGAGAGGGGAGGAAGGACACCCGTCCAAGTCCTTTGCCCCCCACATCTGTCCGTCTCTTCTGTCCCGGAGACAATGGGTTGGAAATCCGATTCTGATCTTGCTACTACTGCCATAAACTTAGCAGCTGGGCCAGGCGATAGGGAGCCCCCCCTTATACACACCTATAAACCCCCTGTGTCTTCTTCCCAACCGAACTGGTTCAGGGACCACTCACTTGAAGGTGCATCGAGGCCTACCTGGTAGGGCTGCACTGCAGACTTCCTCAGAGGAGTCTGCTTGGCATTTTGATCCCAGTTCCATCTGGGGAAGGTGGCCTTAGAAAGCACCTGCCCCCTCTGCTTCCGATTACCGTAACTACAAGTTCATCCATACTAATGTTAGAATCATAGAAATGTAGAATTGGAAGGGACCCTGAGGGTCATCTAGTCCAACCCCCTGCGATGCAGGAATCTCAACTAAAGCATCCACGACAGACGGCCATGTTGTAACGTATATAGGCAGTTTCTTGTGCCTCCGCCCATTCTCTGTCATCTGTATGATGCTCTCCTTCAAATCACACTTTCCCTTCCTTCAAAATCCCGATTCAGGGAGGGGGAAGTGTGATTTGGAGGAGAACCGACGACGGAGCATGAATGGGGGTCCAGGAAGCTGATGATCCACATTCAACGGCTGTAGGGAGGGCCCCAGAAACTTATGTACTTCTCCCTGGTTGCCTTTACTGTAGCTCTGTCACTCGATTGAAGGTACTTTTGCCTATCTGATTTAGATGATTCACCGGTAAATTAATCAACAAAATCTGCACACATTGCCTGCATATCAACAAGGGGGAAAAATCATTCATATATACATACATATACATATGCGCACAGTATACAGTTGTATCCAAAGTTCTGTCAGCGCAATGATTTCTTTTTCTGCAACAGAACATTCTCCCCCATGCCTCCCACCACAAATCTGTTCTATGGGGTTAACGTTAACCCAGCCCTCTGGAGTAGATGTGGGGATAGCATGGGTCACACACAGTGGGGAAGAACCATGGGGAGTTCTGTGCTAATAGAATGAGCATGAGTTAGAATTTGTCTCAAACTCCAATCTGTTAATCCGGGGCTGGAGAACCTGCCCTGCCCTCCTGGTGTTGCCGGACTCCAACTCCCACAATCCCTGAGCGTTGGCCATGCTGTTTGGAGCTGATGGGAGCTGGAGTCCTAGAATATCTGGAGGACCAGTGGCTGAGGAAGGGGGTACGGGGGTGTGGTCCGCCCTGGGTGTCATCACTGGGGTGTGTGTGACAAAACGAGTTTAAAAAATAATAATAAATTGGGCTCATGGAACTTTTTAGGAGTTCTGCTGTTTGGAGCTGATGGGAGCTGGAGTCCTAGAATATCTGGAGGACCAGTGGCTGAGGAAGGGGGTACAGGGGTGTGGTCCGCCCTGGGTGTCATCACTGGGGTGTGTGTGACAAAACGAGTTTAAAAAATAATAATAAATTGGGCTCATGGAACTTTTTAGGAGTGACGTGGTGGCTTAGGCCCCTGTAGGTTCTGTGCTGCCTGAAACGGCAGCATGGGACTTACGTCTGCTTACCGCCTCTGCCTCAGCTGCCCTACAGCTGAGGTGGAGGCGGCGGAGAGGCGCCAAGCGTCAGAGAGGCTTGCCCCGCCCCCTGGGTGGATCGCCCCGCCCCCATGGGCAGGACACGCCCCCACACCAGGCACCCGAGTGACTAGCTATGCTGCTGTGGAGGACCACATACATTCCTGATCTCTGGATTAATCGGATGAAATGATTTAAACGTTTCGGACTGAGTAAAGATTCTAATTCCATTTCAATACAGGCATTCCCATTCTACACTCATACTCATATTAATATTATCTTAAAAGAGGCACTCCCCTTTTACTCTTCATGTCAGGAGGGAATACCTCTTCTAAAAAGCCAACTTCTGTGACCAGTACAGGCACTGTATCCAACTTTACACCTACTCACAGTAGACCCATACAGGGCGATTCTCTTTCGTCCATCGGTTTTCAGTTGGGTCTTCTCTAAGAAGAACCCACCCTCTAGCAAACAAAGTAAGCTTTTACTATTCAAAGCTATTGTGTTAAAGAGGCAGATTTGTGCAGATTTAATTGATTTGTGCAGATTTGATGGATTTTTGCTATTTCTTTAATCAAGTGACAGCCCTACTTTGTTTTCCTTTTGGTTATTTTAAAAAGTATTTTTTAATTGGATTTTACTCATATAACCCGAATAACAAAATAGAATTTCATGAAACAAACACACAACCCTGCTTTGTTTTGTTTTTATGACACATGCATTTGTTGCAGTCGCTTTCCTAGAAGGAGATTGTGCTTTCCAGCTGCAAAATTTGCATCGAAATATCATTTACAGCGCAATTCTACTCTAGGTCCACTCAGAAGCAAGCTTTATTGAGCTCATTGGGACTTACTCCAAGGTATGCGTGTATAGGATTGCAGCCTATTTTTTTTATATGCAGCTGATCAATTAATTCAGTTGATCGAAATATTTTAATTGATTAATACCATGTGTGTGAGTGTGTTTTCACATGGATGTATACCGATAATGAATTGTGAGTACAGAGGTGCAATTAAAGTGTGTTAAGGGGCATTTTATCTTCAGTTAGTGATCTCGTGCCTGCATCCTTTGGGGGCACGTAATCAAGACTGGCCTCTTAACACACTTGAATCCTTGTTTTGTACACCTTGTCAGGAAGAGCAGCTATGGAGTCAGGATCTGCTCCCCCTTTAGTGCATGTTTACGGGCATTGTGCAATTATCGAAAAGCAACTAACAATTGAGGATACAGACCAAAAGGGAAGGAGTTAATCCTGGATTAACTGAGCAAAAGACTAAGGTGGTATGTTTCTTTTGTATGCGATAACAGTCCCCGTTTTGGACTCTTGCAGAAAGTGATGGTTACAGCTCTCCTTCAAGTCACATAGCCAGAGTCACAAGAGAATGTTTGGTTTGGGGTTTTAAAAAAATGCAGATTAACCAACAGGGCATTGGCTAGGATTATTATTAATTTTTTTTTTGGGGGGGAATTCCCTCCTTCCACTACAGACTGCCATGCCCCCCGCTATTTTCTTGGGAGCAGTTTGTAGTGGGAATGTCTATCAGGAGTTGGGAATGTCTATCAGAGTGGATTTGGTGCTGACCTTTAAAGCCCTAAACGGCCAATATACCTGAAGGAACATCTCGACCCCCATCGTTCAGCCCGGACACTGAGGTCCATCTCTGGGGGCCTTCTGGCAGTTCCCTCACTGCGAGAAGTGAAGTTACAGGGAACCAGGCAGAGGGCCTTCTCAGTAGTGGGACCCGCCCTGTGGAATGCCCTCCCATCAGATGTCAAGGAAATAAACAACCATCTAACTTTTAGGAGACATCTGAAGGCAGCCCTGTTTAGGGAAGTTTTTAATGTTTCATTCTATTTTTAATATTCTGTTGGGAGCTGCCCAGAGTGGCTGGGGAGACCCAGCCAGATGGGAGGGTATAAATAATAGATGATGATGATGATGATGATGATGATGATGATTATTATTATTATTATTCCTCCTTCCCCTGCCTTTGTGCATGGCAGGCCATTGAAGGACGAGGGATAAATATTTACACCTCTGTGCCCTAACCCACGCCTCGCAGGTTCCCTATTTGAAATGCCCATCACCAGCGATGAAGGGTCATAACAGGGTAGCAGAGCACCCTTTCTTTGTCTCACCCCCTCCTTGTGCCTAACCACTGCCAGGGGTGGAAAGGAGCTCTGCTTGGGTCCAGGGCAGCCTTCCATCCTTCTAGAACTGCCTGGGTGCCACCCACATTAATTCCTTCTTTTGTGAGGGCCAGTGAGCCCACAGTCTCTCTCTCCAGGAACCAGTAATCTGTGACGTGCAATCAGTACGTGAAAAGGTGTTGCTTTCAGATCCAGCCATGTTATCAATTCAGGGTAGAGTAGCCCCTCAGGAGCCTTGTAGATTTCTCCCTCCTGACCCGCCCTACATCCTCAACCAGTTCTGCCGCTGTGCTGTCAAATGCTTTTCTAGAGCAGGAATGGGGTAGGGGATCAGTGTCGCTCAATTATCTTTCCCAGGAGGGGAAAATTAGAGGGAGGGTGATCTCTGATGCAATCTTCAACAGGACCAAACCCCTCGCCGCCCGCTTGCTGCTAGACTAGAAGCTCACACCATAAAGGTACTAGGCCCAGGGCAAGAAACCCTTGGTTGTTCCATTGTTCCTCCTACTGAATTGTGGAGGGGGCCCTACCTTTGGGCAACGTGAGATGGCAGCCTCAGGCGGCAGGTACTAGGGAGCAGCAGCAAAGCATCGGACAGAATTGTGTGCGTTGCACATGGCTTGATCAGTGCCCTCTCAGCTACTCTGATGCCTGCAGATTGCTGGTTCTCGATTCAGGATTCTACATGTGGAATTCGCTGTGGGAGGGGCCGCCATGTCCTTTGCTACATGCATCAAAATGTATTGGGCAGACCACACTGGGTTAAGATGCTGGGGGAGAAGGTAGGCTATCTTAAGGGATGGCAGAGGCTTCCAATGGAAATTAGAAGGGGAAGTGCCAATTATTGCTTTATTCATCCTATGCCCGGAACAGAAATCAAACCAGTGAATAGGATTCACATTTACTGATGTTACTTTCCATCCACAAAAAGACGCAGGGTTGATTACGTCCCCCCCCCCCCGTGTTGTGTTTCCTTTGCATTACAATGAGTGGGATGGAATAATGTAACGACAACATAATTCACTGTATTTTTCGTTCTATAAGACGCACTTTCCCCCTCCTAAAAAATAAGGGGAAATGTGTGTGCGTCTTATGGAGCGAATGCAGGTGGGAGGCTCTGCTCAGCGCTCCCTTTAAAGAGCCGCGTGGAGTGTGTGGGGGGCTCTTGGGGGCTGTCCTGGCTTCTGCCTTAGCCGCGCGCAGCCTCTTCCGGGCAAGGGGAGTCTTCATCCCGCTGCCCTGAAGAGGCTTCGCGTGGCTGTCCCAGAAGCCAGAACAGCAAGAGGCTATCCCAGAAGCCAGATCCCTCTTGCTGTTGTGGCTTCTGGGATTCAGAATATTTTTTTTCCTTGTTTTCCTCCTCCAAAAACTAGGCGTGTCTAATGGTCTGGTGCGTCTTATAGAGCGAAAAATACGGTGCGTAGCAAATTACGTAAGTTACATCACTTCACCATAGCAAGGCAGAGAACGTTGTTTTGGAGGAAGGTGAACTGCAGTGGAATGGAAAGAGCGCTGCATGCAGCAAATACAGGGCAGCGCAGGCAATTATGCCTCCTTACGCCCCTGACCAACTCAGTCTCTTATAGGACATCCCCACGAGAAGCTTATCAGAGGGAACAACCAGTACTGCCTTCTTGATCCTACTCTCCTTTCCTGCCTCTCATCCCACAACGGCCCCCTCTGGCAGGAGCCACCTGGTCTGATCACGTAGGTTCAAAAACATTCCAGAATTTCTTCTTGTTTACACTCGAATTGGGTTAGAGCCATCCGTAGAGCTGCTGTTCCCATAGCCATGAAGCTGGGGGGGGGGAGAGAAAGGGAGGGAGGTGTTCTCCACCCCCTTTCCTCCCAGTGGCCCCTGTGTTGCCGAGCCATGGCTGTGTCCTCACTGGGGCCTGCTTCTCCTATTGTTTCTAGCCCCACTGCCAAGCGCAAAGACTATCTTTTGGGGGCAGGAGATTTTAGGCAGTGTTATGATTGGTGGCGCTGTGGGTTAAAGCCTCAGCGCCTAGGACTTGCTGATCGAAAGGTCGGCGGTTCGAATCCCCGCGGCAGGGTGCGCTCCTGTCGCTCGGTCCCAGCGCCTGCCAACCTAGCAGTTCGAAAGCACCCCCGGGTGCAAGTAGATAAATAGGGACCGCTTACTAGCGGGAAGGTAAACGGCGTTCCGTGTGCTGCGCTGGCTCGCCAGATGCAGCTTGTCACGCTGGCCACGTGACCCGGAAGTGTCTCCAGACAGCGCTGGCCCCCGGCCTATAGAGTGAGATGGGCGCACAACCCTAGAGTCTGTCAAGACTGGCCCGTATGGGCAGGGGTACCTTTATGATTGGTGGAGAAGGCAGGCGTGCTAATTGAAACTGCAGATTTGTTGCATCGGAAGATCCATGGGAGTTCATGCATACACACATGCACAGATTCTTCTCAGCGGGGTCTCTATACTCCCTCTGTGCTGGTGTGTGTGTGTGTGTACGCGCAAACACATATCAAAAGGAGATCTTCCTACCCTAGGAACACGCTAGCGTCTCTGGAGAGATCCAGATTATAGGGATCCCAGTGTCAAGACACAGCCAGTAGGACACCCCTACAAGCGTGGTTGTCTGTGCGCATGTGTGAAAGAGTCTCTGTAGTGTGTGTGTGTGCATACAAGCAAGTGTGAACGTGCGTGCAATCTAGTCACCAAAGACCATGAACCATCACCTTTGCACTTGGCGTTGCTCAGTGTACGGCGCTTGTAGATTTCATATCACGGGGGGCGATTTTAAAAAGCTGTGCTCTCTTCTTCTTTTTGTAAAATAAAAATAAAAAAATTAATTTTGTTTCGTTTCGGACGTTGTACCTAACGGATTTCGGTAATAAAGAGAGACTTGGAGCTGGTTTTGTCATTTGGTAATAGCAACGGCTGGGGCCAATTGCCCAGCCATATGGACCTAATGGAACGGTGGGCTGCACCGTGGGTTTGTTGCAAACTTGGAGGGTTATTCACATATTAATTTTATTTCTTTGTTAATTGCTTCCCATGAAAATATCCCAAAGCAAACAGGTTGTTGTTTTTTTAAAAGTCAGCCATTTAAGTGATCTCAAATCCAGTACAGATACAGCTAGGGCTAAAAGGCATATTGAAAGAGGAAGGTGTTTAACAGGCAACAAAAAGACAATCGTTGGTGCCCATCTGACAAGAGGGCGTTCCAAAGGGAAGAGGCCACCGCATTAAAGGCGCAATTCCGACATGATAGGGAATGGGCCTTTGGAGGAGGAGGAGTAATTAAATTCAGTTACATAACAACATAGGAAGTTGCCTTGTACAGAACCTGACAATTCACCTGTATAGTGGTAAGGTAAAGGTAAAGGGACCCCTGACCATTAGGTCCAGTCGTGGCCGACTTGGGGGTTGCGGCACTCATCTCACTTTATTGGCCAAGGGAGCCGGTGTACAGCTTCCGGGTCATGTGGCCAGCATGACTGAGCCGCTTCTGGCGAACCAGAGCAGTGCACGGAAACTCCATTTACCTTCCCGCCGGAGCGTTACCTATT